TGGGGAGGAGAAACCCTGCCTGCCGCTTCTTCCTCTCTAGCCCCCTTTTCTCGAAGCCTTTGGTTCTCATATGACTTCCCCAAGAGGACGGCAGTGACACAGCGCCAAGCAAAATAGGTGTGTCCTCTCCCAGGACCCCACCCCAGGCTGCCAGCATGCGGCCACCAGTCTGAGGGAGGCCTGGTTGATCCAGGGCAGGGCCCCCCCTGCCATCCTGCCAGCTCAGCACTCCTATCTGCCCCTAGCCCAGACCCCACTGCCATTCTGCTCGATGAGGGCATTTCTTCAGACCTCCTGACCGCCTGCTGCCTGGGAGGATGGAGGCATAATTAGCTGCGCTTCTCCTGGGGAGTGGGAGAGGAGAGTGGCTCGTTAAACCAGCCATGCGTGCCTCTTCTGCGGCTCCCTCCCTGGCTTCTGCCTGTTTTTGCTTGCCCTCTCCTCTCTACCTCCTCTTCCATTTCCCTCTGCTGGTCCTCTCGCCTTCCTGGTCTCTCCTCCTGCTACCTTGTTCTCTCCTTTTTCTCCTCTGTACCCACTCCTGGTTATATCTCCCCCTCCTTGTTTCACTGTTTACCCTCTCCGTCCCCCCTTCTTTCTCTAGCTATTTCCCCCGGGGTCTTTCCCTCCTCCTGTTGCCCAAGATCCTCTTTGTGATCCCCTCCCTCTCTTTCCTTTGTTTCCTGTCTCAGCTGTGCTTCTGGGCCACCTGTCCTTCTCCCAGTGGCATCTTTGTCCTTTGCCTCAGAACCCTTATTTCCTTGCTTCTCTCACTCTTTTGTTCCACCTTTCTTCCACTTTATTTTCTAGCTCTCATTTCTTGGTCCATTTCTCCGATTTTTCTCTTTCCCCTTTTTGTACTGTGTTCCCTTCATTCCAGTTCTTATCCTCCTCCTCCCTCCTCCCCTCTCCCACTCAGTGTCTCCACCACGCTGAAAGAAACGTATATTTGGAGGGATTTGTATACATTCCATCCCTTTCCTAGCGGAAGGCGAGAATGGGGGAAAACTCAGGGGAGGACACTTTTGACTTTTCTCATCCTAAGTGCCCAGCTGCATTCAAAACCCACAAGTACTTCCAAACAGACCAAATGACAGTGACTAGCTTGCGGAATCAGGGCCAAGGAGAAGAAATGTGAGGATGCCTTCTCCACACAGAGGAGGATGAATTCTGTGTAGGAGTTATTATGGTCACCCTGGTGACAGGGAGTCTGCCAGCCACACCTGAACTGCCCACAGCTGTTGCTGAGGGAACCTGAAGGGAGGACTATTTTTTTAGTCTGCTTCCCTCAAATTAGGGCTTTGAGGAATTAGTTGGTTTTGCCACACCACCCTCCCTCCTAAAAATGTAGCTGGTGGTGAGCTGCCTTTAATTCCAAGGTCAGGGCAATCCTGCCGAGCTGTGGGAGGACAACATCTGAACACCTGGACTCCCTCTGCCAGGTCTCTGTTTCAAGTTCCCCCTCTATAAACCATATGCTTTCAGATATAATCTTCTACAATCGGTCCAAAGGCCTTCCCACCCTCATCCTCCAGCTCAACAATTCCTACACTACCTCTTCACAACATCTGTTCAAAACCCTTTATCTCCATTCTCTCATTCCCTCCATTCCTTCCCACCTCTATTTTTCCCAGATGATACTATACAATAGGGATGCCTTCCCCAGAATAGTAACTTAATGTTTCCTTCTCATTTTTTAAACGTTAAATTCCACTTCTTCCAGGAAGCCTTCCTAGACTGATTCCATCTTAAAGATGGAAGAGACCCAAAAAATTATTTAATGGAACCTCAATTCAGAGTCAGGACACTGAGTGCCAGAACAGTTCATTGATTTGCCTGATGCATATAGAGTATTAATAGCAATGCTAGAAGACACTCAAGTCTTCTAACTCCTCCTCTGTGCTCTCTCCATCATATCCCAAGCTGCTTTCTAATCAAAAAAGGGAATATTGCTGGCTGGTCTCATGGTCAAGGATTTCTATAACTATGCCGCTTGTTCTCTATCTTAAAATACATTTTGTTGTACGTCAATTGCTTTGCTATGTCTGAGATGGGTGCTGTTGGTCTTAAATAAAAATTTACTTAACCGTGTGCTCCTGGAAGGCAAGTAACCATATTGTATTCATCTCTGTTTCCTCGGCACTTAACAATGCCTGGCACACAATAAATGGTTACCAGATTGAAACTAACTGAAATGAAAACATACTATTGACTGTCTAAAACCGTGGAGGCCTCATCATAAATAAGAGGGCAGTGGAGGTTTCTTTGAGATAGGCTGGGTGATAAAGCACAGCCCTATCCGTTTGAGGCTAGCTTGCTCCCACCACTCCTTACCACTCTGAAAAGACAACAAGGCGGTGAAATGATTGCTGAGGGGCATAACTTGCACTTTTTGCCCTTGCCAAGACCAAAAGAGAAAGGCATAGCCTTCCAGGTCAGAACTTAGCATTTGCTTGGCCCACTTCATGGCTGCAGGCCAAACCTGTGGCGAAGAGAAAGTAGAGGCTACACAGGGCTCCAAAAAGAACTGCATAAGACACCTGTGGACCCTAACATCATATAGGATGGTCGCTCGTGGCTCTTCCTTGCTCCTCTTGGACCAAATCCTAGGTTTTTCCTCATTTGCATGGGTGTATGCATAAAAGAGTCCATGGGAATAAGAAGCAAACTGGAAAGGGGACCTAAGTACTTCAGCACATGCCCTTACACTGGTCAAAGGAATACAGATGTGGACAGCAGAGAGGAGCCTAGGAGCAGCACTTGCCTGAACACTTGGACTCTCTCCTTCCCTTCCGATTAAGTTACTGTGCAATCTGTGCAAGAGGCACTGTGGGGAGCTTAAATCTCAGGCCTGGGATCTAGGTAGCTGGCAAAGGGTCTGGGCAAGCCCTGACTTTTGACTGTAGGGGGCAGCACATCTATAGTAGATATCCTGGGGTGTGTTAGGTCACTCTATACCCAGGGGAGCCCTTCAGGCACTAAATGCAAATTTAAAACAGGAACTGAGGTCAAGGAATAAGGGTGTTACTTAGCTGTAGTAGAAAGAGCTCTGGAATAGAAATCAGGAATCAGCTAGTCAGATCAGCTGTGTAGCACTGGGCAGGTCCCATCCCTTATCTGGTCTTCGATTTCCTAATCCGTGGAATAGATCAACTCTAAGTTCCCTTCCAGAACATAGTAAGTATTTAGCACAAGTTAAATGAATGAATAGATCTAATTCTGAGACTCCCTTCCTCGGGATATTTATAATGTTTTCCATACTGCTCATACATATCCCACTGGTCTCATTTGGATGATAATGTCCTCCCTGCTTTTTGCCTTCCCTAATTTCATATGCCCAGAAATCTCAATGTAGTCTCTCAAACGTCATTCTTGATCCACTTCTCAAGAACCCACAATAGCTGTCTACTCAGAACCCAGGTATATAAGGCTTTCATAGCTGCCCACCAAGCTCCAACCCCCAACCTCCAACCCACCCGCACACCTGAACTAGATTTCTTTCTCCTCTTGCAATCCATGCCATGTCTCTTCCTTCTGAGCCCTGCTCCAGCCTTATCCCTTTAAGGAAGTCTGGCCAAACTAGCAACATCCATAACCACACCCAGTACTATTTCCTGTCCCTTCAGCATTCAAGACCTCAGGTTGCATTATATTTACCCGCGGTTGCATATATATATGTATATATATATACATATATATGTAATGTTTATCAGTAATATGCATAGAAAAATACAAAAGTTAAGAGAAAATAAAAGTAAAAGCCTTCTAACATCTTTTTCTTTAAAAGTCATCTTAGTCCAAAAAGAAGAATTAAAATTGTATTTATAGATGACATGATCACACACACACACACACACACACACACACATGTATATATATATACATATATATGTATGTATATATGTGTGTGTGTGTGTGTGTGTGTGTGTGTTTGTGTGTGTGTGTGTCCTGGTAAGTATAGGCATAATTTACCCCTGAAACCTTAAAAGTGAACATAAGGGACTAAGTAAAACCCTTTTCATAAAGCCCACCACAGCTCCCACATCCACACAACTTCTGGGGCCCTCTCAGTCTTCCCTCAGGTAGGGGAGAAGGTTAAAAACATAATAATTTTATATATAAATACAAAAATTGCATTTAGCTACAGCTAAAATGAGCCTCTGCTTTTACCTAACCCAACTTCCTCATGTCAGGGGAGAGATCGAGCACCTTGTTCAAAGTCACAGCGCTTATTTAGTAGTCAGGAAGAAGACCCAGGATGGCGTAAGGCCTCGTACTCTGTGATCCTTCACCAGCTGACTGAATTAAGTGAACAAGGAGTCGTTTTGACATCATGCAGCCAGCTGAATTGTTTCTTTGGTGGAGAATCTGCATTAAAGTGCAATGAAAAGACCCGTGCTGGTCACCCAGAAAAGACTTTTAATAACAAAAGGGAACATACAAGTCTGAAGAACTGAAAAGATTTTATAATCCCTTCCCAAGAAAGAATTTAACAGCCCTAAGATGAAGTCTGGGATATAGCATTTTTGACTGTGAATTTTTGAGGTTTTGGTGGCGATACTTCCTTGACTACAACCCACACTGGACATTTTTAGGTTGCTACTGAGGGCGGGACCACCAACAATATGTGCTGTGTGCAAATCCCAGGATGCTCACAACTGAGAAGGACTACAGAGGCCACTGCTTCTTCTTCCTCCAACCCAATAAATCCTACTGCCCTTTAAGGTGGTCCCATCAGCAGTTATGATGAAAACATTCACATTCAACATCCACACCGTTGAGGAAGAGCAATGGTACAGGTCATGCAAAAGCCATTTCCTTTTAGTTTTAGAAAGCACGATCACGAATTTTTAGCAGCACCTTATTATTTTCTACTGAAGATAATATTTAAAAAGTGTTTGTATTCTCTGAGCACAAATTAAGTGACGGTATGAGGAGCATAAGTGGTTACCTGGAAGAGGAACCAGACTTTGAATTAAACATTCATTATAGAGACTCACCAAGTGGACAAACCACAGTGAAATAACTGGAATAGTCACTCAACAAGCATGTGTGTGTGTGTGGACTCATCGTGTGGTTGGCACTCTGCTACATGCTGGGGAGAAGAGGTAAGAGAAGGAAATTACAAATATGAACAAGACATATTCCTTATCCTCCAGGAGTGTGACAGTCTGGTGGGAGAAGCAGGGTAAATGGCTTACTATGATTAAAATGGAATATAAGTATGTTGAAATTCAAGCAATTTACTTACGAAGCTGGAAGGAAAAAATAGTTTATTCTTTGTGGGGAGTAGAGAAGACTATCTTAAAAAAGAGAGGCATTTACAGAGCATCTTAGAGGCAAATCAAGATTTCAGAGGGTAAAGGTTGGGTAAAAGAGGTCATAAGGCTAAAAAAGCACGGAGGTAAGAAAATGTATGGCTGTTGAGGGAACAGTGAAGTGACACATGGAACAGCATCTGCTTCCACTTCCCCACCCAGTGCTCTGGGAGATCTGACCAGCTTCCCCCTTAGAGCAAAAGGAAACACAGTAAAGTCCAAGACCTCTTCTGATAAGCTCCCTGGTTGGCCATCATTTGTTCCAACAAAACAGTTCTTGCTTAGGTTCATTTAAAGACAGTTCTTTTCCCCTAGTTATTCCTCAGAGCTAGGAAAAAAAAAAAAATCACCCGGAGAAAAGCCCCTGGCCCAGTCCACAGCAATCTGTTTTCCATCTCAACCTTACTCAATTAAGGGCCAATTTTTCTGGAATTCCCAGACTTGGGACTTTCTTTACAGGGGACTGTGATTTTGGGAGCCTCTCTCTTAGCCATCAGCCCCTTTAAACTCTTCTAATTTGCTGCTGCTTTAAAACTGCAAGGGAAAAGATGGAGAGGAGGCAGCCTTCCCTGCCTCTCTCCCTTGCTCTGCGGTTAAGCTCAGCAATGATCCCACAAGCCTGGAATTTGAGGAATTTCCTGCCCCGTGCTCCCTGGAAGAGCTGAGAGACCTAGCAATTAGGCCTGGAGTTTCTGCGCCTGCCTCCCTACACCCAAGTGAAGCACCCTGAGTGAACAACGGGTTCTAAGAGGGGGCCACATGGAGCTCAGCCTGGGATGTGTCTGTGGACTTCACATTCCACAGGAACATCACCCTCAGAAAGTCACCACCACTGCCACCTCCTCCCTCATTCCCCTTCCAACCACCCAAAGTACCTCTGCCAAATGATCCACATCTTTTCCTTTGCCCGTCTTAAGTTGTAATAGTTGTAGTAATAAAACTACAGGACACAGAGTTAATTCCTACTCAAATCCATCTTGTTCTTCTGCAGTCATCTCAGGATAACTTAGTAATTTTCTTTTCTTTCCTTTCGCCCAGCACAGGAGCCATGCTACGCCTCAACTCTTTACTGCTTCCCCCTCCAGTCTGTTCCTCTTGTGCCCTCTTCTCCCCCTCTTCCCCTCTGTTTACACGTTCATGATGTATTGACTTGTTCAGTTTGTGCCTTTGCCCAGTGTCTGTCTGCAGGCTGAGGGGCTTAGATCTGCTTCCCAGTGGCACATCTATCTCTGGGACTTCAAGAGGGCAAGGGTGGAAGATCTGGGCTTCTCTTTGGTTCAAGCCAGAGACATGGGGACTGAAAGGGGGAAAAATACATTAAAATGAACTGTACGTAATTCTTTGCTGCAGCAGCCAGAACAGCAGAAGCAAATTCTCTTCCTAATTATGTTTGTTCAGGTTAATATTAAAACTGGTTCCTATTCTCAGGTGCTAGGGCAGAAGCAGCCAGGGATTCAAACACTTGCCACAAATAGTCCTCAAGCTGGCTGATCCACGACCATTGGCATGGCCTCCTGGGAAGGTAAGCATTTATCGGGGCTTAATGAGTGATGGGGTCCTGCTCCATTTTTGCCCTTATCTCTTTATTCTAATGTTCTCTTGTCCAGGTATCTAGCTTTGTGTTTTCTTCCTCATTTTAGTTGTTCCATTTCTGACACCCCTTCGATAATTCCCTATGTTGCTCTTTGCTTCCTCAAATCGAAGGACATTTCTGAACCTTTGACCAGCTGGAACTTGCTCCCCCACCTCCCATCTCTATCTACATAACACACACCCTCTCATACTCCATTCCCAAGTTGGCGCCCATCTCTTCCCATCCTGGTTCCATGGCAACGCCACCATGTGGCCTCCCACCTGCTGACAGTTCTCTCCCAGGCTTTCACCGGCACACTAGGTCCATTCCCATGACCCTCTCCTTGCACTTCGACTCTACTCACTACTCTCTTCTCTGGAATGTACTAAGGCCTGGACCAGTGGTACAGCATGCTGAGTCTGAGCTTTCAAGGTCTAGGCTTTCTTTATACTAGTCCTGACTCTGACTCTTGACAATTCTGACCCACAGTAAAATTAAAATGATATTTTCCTGCTTCCCTTTCCTTCCCACCCCCCAATTCTTCTCAGCATATTCTACAAGCCTCAAAAGGAGAAGACTCCCAGTTAAAAAAGGAATCAAAGCTATTCTAACACTTCAGTGGCAATGCTCACTATCCCCAGATTTCCTTCAACTCTCCAGATATTTGCCTTTTGAGGTTGAGAGTTGTTAGTTGCCAGTTCCCTTCTCCTCCCCCTTCACATTCCCTTCAAACAAAGCTTTTCTGTCAGGTTTTTGACCCTGATGAAGATTTTTAACTGGAATCTTTCTCTTTTTTTTTGGTTTTCCCCCTTCCTCTCCAATTCTGAAGGATCTTTTGTCTTCTGAGTAAAAGAACTGAGATACTGGGAGAGCTGTTCTTTTTTCTCCTCTTATAAGTAATTGAGGAAGAGTTTTTAAAAACCTGAAGGATAGAAGACCAAAAAAAAAACCAATATGAAGCTATTTTCTTTCTCAAAAAACAATTTCAATAGAAAAGAAAGAGAAAGACTTTGAAAATATGAAAGGAAAAGAAGGACCTTGAAAGAGAGAGAGAAGTAACAGAGAAAATGAGGGCGGGCTGGAGAGAAAGACCTTGAGGAAATGAGAGGAAGAGTGAGCAGGAAGAGGGACCTTGAGGAATGCATAAGCAGGAGAAAGGGGGAAAGGAGAAAAATGACAGAGGCTCAGAGAGATACTCACTACCTAGGTTGCGTATCCACTGAATAGTTTCTTCAATTTAGAGAAAAGGGAAAAGACTGGAATATGCCCTCAGGAAGCAAAGAGAACTTTCTTCTCTTTGCACATTTATAGCGCCCAACAGTACCTAGCAAATAGTAAGTGTTCAATAAATGAACAAAACAAAGCTGTGATGGGTTCTTGTTTTCTTTTTCCCTTAAGACTAAATGAAAGGTTGGTTGGAAATGAATAGATAAGAAAGAAACAAAGAACTCAGGGCCAACCTAACCTGATCAAGATCAGATTGTGCAGGGCTCAGGAAGGGAAGTCACATTTTGTCATCCTCTTCTTGTCTTACCCTGTTATCTTCCCTGGTGTGTCTCTCTGTCTCTGTCTGTCTGTCTGTCTGTCTGTCTGTCTGCCTTTGTCTCTCAAATCCTAGCAGGCTGATTATCTTTGCCACCCAGAACTTTTCAGTTTTGTCTTGGTCTGAGCAAAGAATAAGAAACTCATTCGAAGGGCAGTCCAAGTGAGTTCCAAGAAGCAAGGCTAATCCGATTACTATAATCATTATCATCACCACAATGCATTCTGAAGTCAAAAAAACAAAAGGCTAAAACCATCATGGCTGGGCAGTCATCAGTGTGTATGGGGGTAGGAGGAGGAGGGTGCTTTTCCTGGGTTCACTGAGAGCTAGCTATTTACAGATGGCCTTTCATCTGGGACTCAAGTAGCTCCCCACAGCCTCTGGTCCATTTTTACAGCACCTCTAAAAGGAAGATTAGAGACGATTTATATTATTTGTAACTTAAAATTGCTGACATTTAGAAGCTGCTTGCTTACTATTTGCCAAGAGCTATGCTATATGTTTTATATATCTTAACTCAATTAATTCATTTGTTCCACAAAAGATTTGAGGCAGGATACATCGACACATTCATTCAATGATATAAGAATTACACAAAAAATTAAGACGCTAGACCTTTGGTGGGAATGGTGGTGATTAAACAAGCAGTGAAAGACAGGAGAAATAAATTGAGGTTGGGGTAAAGATAATACACTAAATATATGCCACAAGATCCTGAATGTCTCATCAGAGATCAACTGCAAGAGGAGCCTTGAGCTTCCAAGCAGCCAGTGCAAAGAGAAAAGAATGAAAGTTAGTGACACGATTTACAGTATCCATAAAATAAAAACTAACCAGTGTCTTAGCAAAAGTACCACTAAAGAACTTTCTCCCGTGGAGCCTCATAAACGGACACCGTGATGTGTTGAACCATGTCCTGGGCAGCATCCCTGCCGTAAATACAATAAGGATTTTCACAGGGCTGCTCCTTAGAACATTCCTCAGTGTGGGCTGGTGGCACAGTGCCAAGTGCTCTTCTCAATAAAAGCAATTCTTTGACGGGCCCAAACCATTCAGTCTCAGTTTGCCACTCTAATGGTTTGGCTTAGTCTAAAGATAAAGTTTAGAGTATCTGGAGGAATGGACTGGAGGCAGCTGATAATGGCGGGAGGGAAAGTTGCAGATATAAAACAGGACTCCTGTGACTTAGCTATTTTGGCCTTTAGTTCAGAGCTGCATCCCAAGATGAGAGGAAGAAAAGAATATCACAGCCTTCTCTGATATTCACGATTTCTTGGGAGGCATCTGAAGGTAGGGGAGGCAGAACTCAAAAGATTATTTCCCTGAGGATATAGGGCAAGGGGCCAGCCAGCTGATGTCTGGAGTCTGAGTGAGGTGACTGAGTGAGGCTCATTTAAAAAATAAAAAAAGTACTCTGGCTTTTTACTTTTCAATTTCTGCAGAGTATACCTAACCCCCAAAATGTCAGCTTAGCTTTTGGCCATCTTGAGGCTTGGGAAGATTAAGCCTGCTGGAAAAATCCTAAGGAGCATTCAAAGAGGAATTAGCAGTAGCATTAAACACAATTATGCAGCCCCAGCAAAGCTCCCAGACTAGAATGTACCTCCCCTACCCTTCCCTTCTGGAAGGTACGCCAGCATTTCAGAGACCT